CTTAACTCATATGTTAACTATATTTTAACTATCTAAAAGAAGTGATACGCCTATGGATTACGAACGCTTTATTATTTTAATACTCTCTCATAAAAATAAACTTTTTTTTATAGTTAGCACAAGTAATAATACAATTTGGGAATTTACTGACAGTTTCAATAACGTTATTCTGAAGGTTTATTTGGTCACTTAGTTATTTAACTGATAAACTGAGTGAGTCCCAGTTAGCTTTGGAGATGTTCCATTTAATTTTGACGGTTGTAGCTTTTGGTTAGTTGTCATAAATAAGTATTTGATAGTGACAAAGACATTACATTAGTTGTAATGTCTTTGGATTGTGATTACTATCGTACAACAGTCACAGTTTGACATGTAAGTAGGGCTGCTATTCCAGGATCACAAAGGCTGAAGTCTATTGTGGGGAAGGTACCTGTTTGTATGTGAAAGTACTTACTGCTTACTGTGTTTAAAATGTTTGTATTACAGATATTTAATGTATTTTCGATAACTTTACCGCCTCCAAATGTTTGCTGGGAACTCCACTTTGTAAATGAAACAAAAAATGCACTGCACAAGAAATTACTTCAAAATATTATTCAGTGACTTAAAAAAGTTATTTATGCTCACTTTCAGAATTTTTCTATGCTTGTTTTCCTATCAATTTTTCACTTAACAGCAGCACATTGTCAACACACGTCTATAAAGTATCGCGCATAGCGTATAGTATGATTATAACAACCAGATGTCATAATTTGTCAATTTAAATCTGTGAAATATGTAGGGTTTTATCAATGTTTCACTAAATAACTTAAAGAAAAATATAATATACGAACAAATCAATTTTTTATAAATCCTGTTATACTCGTACTAGCATACAATAAAATACCCATACAAGTACTGACTGTCACGACCCATTAGTGATTAGCGTTTTTATACGTAACATTTTAATTAAAGAAAATGGTAATGTTCACTACCATATGATGGCAGTTTGTTTTCAACTGTGGATTTTAACATGTGGTTGGCGAGAACGCTTTTCAACTGCTCTTATCAAAAGATTCATGATCCTGCAAAATCCATTCGCTTAGAGGATTCAATTCCGGATTGATAAATCTTTGAAGGATACCCAAGGGCGTACTAGGAAATTCTATTAGAGATATTCCTAAGGTACTTATAATCCTGTTATATTTAAGATTAAATAAAAATCTTTCTTCTTGTGGTTTAGGACCAATTTTATAATTAAATTAAAGAAGGCTATATCAGTTTTTTAATACAAATGTATTGACTAAATACTTATTTTTACTTTTTTATATCCTAAAAGTGTGCTTTGTTTGACATTTTGACAACATTAAGCCACTGGTGTCAATTGCTGTTGTTTGTTTTATTTAATTTTGCTTTACTTAGTGGAAATTATCAAGAACTGTTAATTCATTAGTGGTCACCATAAATCTTATAATTTTGGTTGAATTGGTTAAAAGGAAACAGTACCTAACTCTGATAGATTGTTCTGGTTTTATTTTACTTTAATCATAAATCTATAAACTTTGCAACTCATAAATTGTATACTAAATTTAATTTATAAATTAAGAAGTTTGACGTCACTGCTGGCTATCAAAAAAATCTTCGATAGATAGAGCGCTTACGTATCCAATTTTCACTCAAATATCTCTATTCGTTTATGAGATATATCGTAGATAAATTAGTCTAGGACACCCTGTATAGATAAAAAAGATTTTAAAACTAAAAAACTAAACATATCTTATTGATTCTAAAAGTATTAAAATAATTCAAGAAAACACAACATAATTTTCTATATTGTAAAATGTAGCCATTAATATTTAAAACATTTTTCTTTTACAATGTTCAGCAAATCCCCAAAAAGTTTTAATGATCAATGTCCCCTGTAAGGCAAGAAGCTCTTGTACAAGTTCGTCCGTATTCAGAGCACGTCTTCGTCTCAGGTCAGTGACAGATTGTCTGTGCTCTGCTGGTATGTCATGTCAACAGTTTTTCTCGACTATTGATATACCCCGTCTGTTCTTTACTGGAAGTCTGATGTTAATTCAATAGGCGCACGTAGATTTTCGCCATATTCGGCCATCTTAACGTAAAACTGAAAACAAGGATATAAATTTAGTTTCTTTTACTTATAGGATTAATTGCGAAAAACTCAAAGATTTAATCGTACCAGAGGGATGTGTTAAACGTTAGAGGAATCCTTATTAATTTATAAATATTCATTTGAATCTGCTCGGAAAGGAAGGAAGAGATATAATATGTCAAATCTGTCAAACCGAGTCAAATGAACAACACTTTTTATTTTACTTAAAGTAATATAAGTAAGTAGGTATGTTTAGTTATTATATAGGTTTTTATTTCGCAAATTTCTATAATTTGATTTAAATATAAAGTTTTCTTAGAAAAATCGTATAACCATATTTATAAATAGACTGAATATTTAGAAAAGTATTTTTGAAAACAAAAAATAAATAAATAGAAAAAGTAGTAAATTTGATGTATTGTTAAAAAGTAAATGTTACAGAGAATTTAATAATATGAGTGTTACATTACTTTTGACATTGTTAAGCATTGTAAAGTTTGACAAAGGTATTTGTTATAATAAGAATACAACCTACCCGATATGGTACTTTAATAATCAATAAATAAATTTGGCGATATTAGAGATAACTATGTTTATTTTACAGAATAAAATCTTCTACAAAATCCAAAATTAAAATTTTAAATGATTAATCAAAGTCACTAAAAACATGTAAACTAGATGACATTCCGAATTACAATATTATACAGAGTGTGACAGTTTTAAAAGTACCACAATATTCGGACGATTGAGCTAAAATTTCGTCTTCATCCGATATGGCCATCATATTGTTGCACAAACTACTATTTCTAGGCCAGAATAATATTACCTAACCGCAAATGACAAACGTCAATAAGTTAGTCCTACGAAAGTTATTTTTTATTCAAACTTGGGTATTTCTTTAGAAAAGAAATTGAAGTAGTAATTTGTGCAACAAGAATGAATATGACAGTTATATCGCACGTTGTTTGAGCACGATATTGTAGGCTATTCTACGCACAGACAATTCCGTTCAGCTGAACGAATATATTTCATATCCATTCTGCACGATTATGAAATCAACTAATCACACTTCACCCGGCTATTATTTTTTTTTCTTCTTCTTAATTTGAAATAAGTGATAATTATGTCATATAATTGAGCACCCAACTTCATCTTCGTGCGATATGGCCATCATATCCACTCTCGTTGCACAAACTACTTTTATTTATTCAAAAATTATATGTTTATTACATACAAATTTCGACACTAATTGTTTGTTTAATTTATAAGCGTACTCTCTGATTGATAGTTGTCAATTATTTGTAGTTAATTCGAAATTTTCTCTTAATGAGATTGTTTGTTATACCTACTTGATTGTCACTGAAATATCAGTTCCTCACAGGCATCGTTACTGTACTGGAAAAATATATAGTTACTAATGTTGATTTTACCTAATGAACTTGATGTGAAGTTTAAAGTCATACCATGTAACGTATTTCCCAAGATATTATTCAGAGTCGGCTTAGCATTGGAACAAAATTGGTTATTATATGAGATTTTGTAATTAATTAAATCAAACTCATTATAGAAGGCACCAATAAAAACCATCAATTTGTATTGATCAGACTCTTGGTTTTATACTGGGGCAAATACCCAAGATATTATTGTAGGAAAAATTATGGGTAGATACCAAATAAAATGTAATTTAACAAGGAAATTTAGAATATATACCAGGTCTTCAACAATATCTGAAACCCACGTAATCTAGTAATGTTGAAGCTATTTATTGCATAAACTAGATGACATATCATGTGTATACCAAACTCAGATAGCTGTCCCAAAAAGTCCTCCCGTCCGTCACCATTACATCCAAACTACCTATCCCAATGTTCAGGTAACAAGGTTGATGCAAAGGTGACGTCATAATGTCAGGAGTTCTACAGTAACATCAAAAAACGTACCGAAAGGGCCTGTGTGCGGATTCTGTGCACTGTGGTATTCGTGGTGTTGAATTCAAGTGTGGTTTTCTACACCTTGACTCGATACTCCCTGGATATGGCATTCTGTGAACGTGTCGAAACGACTTCGGATATTTTCGTAATATCGCTGTCCATTCTAAAAACATTTGGTTAAAATTTAGGGTTTTTTGTATTTTTCCCTTTCAGTTTGATCACGTTCTAACCTATATAAATAAAATAATTTATAGTTTTTGTTTTGGTTGGTTTGTAGTTGTATTATTTAATAATTTAAAATGTTGCCAATAAATCTTTTAAACATAGTAGCAGCTAACAACGAAGAACGTTTAGAGGAAATCAGATTATTTAACGAAGAGAGACGGTTTATGAGGGCGGAAGCGGACCCCTTTTCCATGACCGATCAAGCATTTAAAGGTACTTTTCGATTGAATAAGGACATGGCACACTATATTTTAGATCGAATTATACTAAATTTAAATCAAACTGAAAATCCAGTCGCAGTTCCTGCAAACTTTAGATTTTTCGCTACCCTATATTTTTATGCCACTGGATCATATCAGCGACTAATTGGACAGAGTTACGAAGTGTCTATGTCCCAGCCTTTAGTATCAAGGGCTATTTCTGAGGTAACAAACAGCATTGTAAATAATCTTGCTGAAGAATGGATTAGGTTTCCGAGGAATGTAGCTGAGAAAAATGCAAATAAAGGAAGATTCATGGAAATGACTGGATTTCCTGGAGCCCTTGGTGCCATTGATTGCACCCATGTCGCAATATTAGCCCCCGAAGAAGAGGAGCACAATTATTTAAACAGAAAGGGGTACCATTCAAAAAATGTTCAGCTGGTAAGTTATCTAAAACAATAGGAATACCTACTTTAAATTAAAATATATATAATTTAAATAAAATCATAAATTAATATAATCCTTTTGATTGCAGATTTGCACCTATGATTTAAAAATTCTTAATGTGAATGCTCGATATCCAGGTGCTACCCACGATTCATTTATATGGAGAAATTCATTTATACAAGCAGAACTGCAACAATTATATAATGAAGGTAAAAAATGTTTAAAACCTTGTAAAAAATTATCCTGGCATTTTACATATTTTAATTTAAAACTGCTTTAGTTAGAAAACACTTCCGAGTCAAGCAAGTCCATAACTGAGTATAAATGTTACTTTAAAGTCACACTCTTCTCAAATCCAAAAAGATAGATGCAAATTAAAAGTGGTTCTTTTTAATATTATTTTCCTGACTTTGATTTTTACATAGAACATGTAAGAGATGTGAGCAGCATACATGAACCTTAATAAGTGGCTATGAAATAAATAAGAACTCATGTTTAAAATATGGTGAAATTTTAAATTGTATTTTTTTTACAGGTGATCATAATTCTTGGCTCTTGGGAGACTCTGGATACCCTCAGCAACCTTGGCTAATGACACCAGTACTCAATGCAGAAGCAAACACCCCGGAAGCAAATTATAATTTTTTCCACGTAAGGGCAAGAAACTGCATTGAAAGGTGCAATGGTCTTCTCAAGGGTCGATTCAGGTGTTGTCTGAAGGAAAGAGTATTAAGATATTCCCCTGATAAAGCAGGGAACATTGTAAATGCTTGTGCAATTTTGCATAACATTTGCATAGAGGCCAACTTGGAGTTTGACTTAGAAATTCCTGAAGATGATGTATTTCATGATGTAAATAATGAAGTAAATGTTAATGTTGTAAGGGAAGGGCACCAGGCAAGAAGAAACCTTATACAAACCTATTTTAGAAACTAACCTCCCTGTATACACTACAATTATTAATTTTGGAACATTTTAGGGGTGCCCAGTTTTGTTCTCGCCCTGTATAGGTAATTTTAGGTATTTTGTAATAAAATATATACATATAATCACAGTTTTATTTCCAAAAATATATTAAAAATACAGGGATGTAAAGTATACGCCAGTAAACACTCTGTAATTTACTAATGTAAACGAACACAACAGATTTAGGAGTGTTAGGGATGAAACGGATTTTTTAAACTATACGACCAAAACAACTTTGCTATTTTTCATTTATTTAAATGATATTTTGGACATTGCAAGGGTATGCAAAATGCATTATTTTTAGAAGCCGGAATACAAGACATTACACAAATGTTTATGCATCAAAATATCATTTTATTTATAAAATCTAAAATTATTTAAAAAAGAAAGTCACACGTATCCCACAAGATACAAAGAAAATACAAAGAAAATAACATAAAACTAAACTAATAAATAACTCTAAAATTATATATACATAAAAATTGTTACAGGCGAAAAAAGTCTAAATAAACATTATTATTATTACAAAGTCATTTAAGAGTTTTTAAAATATAAAACTAACTCTTCTAATGAATCTGCAATCCTTGTGCTATTTTTGGAAATATTTTCAGTGTTTTTAGCTATTTCTTTAAATATTTCCAGTGAGTCCGCTGTCATATTTTCCAAAGTTTTGCCTATTTTTGGGATAGCCGATATTTTTCTCCTTTTTTGTTCTGCCCCAGATGACATGCTCGACTCATTAATATTCCTACTTGGTAATGGAATGTTTCTTGAAGGAGTTGATATAGGGTTCTTTTTTATTATTGGTCCTGGTCCTTTATGTGTCATATTAATATTTATATGTTTATTCGAAATAGTACTTTCAATGAAAGGAACATTATCTGGCACCTTACTGGTACTGGGAGATGAAACATCTGCTGGAAATTTTCTTTTTAAAATGTTCTTGCCTTTACTTGGCAATGCAATATCTAAAGATGAGTAGTTGTGTTCCGAAAAATAATCTGCTTCTGCAAGTGGCTCAGCAAATATTTCAAAATCCTGCAAAAATACAGAAACAAGTTTTTAAACTTCATTTGTTTTATGCATACTAACACTAACCAAGTGTCCCAAAAAATATACAGAGCAAGGTGACCTCAGATATGCTACATCACAGATATAAAAAAGTACAATATAGGTAGGAAATAAAAAAATATAAGGTGTTCCATTTAAAAAATATATATATAATTTTGTTGCCTACACCATTTTAAGACTAAACAAAAATATTTTATTTTCCTTTTCAAATTTTGTAATTACCTATGTATTTATTGTCTTAATATTAAATGGTGTTTAAATTTGGTCACCATGTCACCTTCTACACACAATAGAAAAGTAATACAGAAAAGAAACAGGGCTACACCTTAAACTCTAAATGTAACATTATTAATAGGAACTTACTAAGTTTGATTCATTGCTCATTTCTACCATTTGAGGTACACATTGTCCCAATTCCTTTACTTCATCTCCTTCCAAACATTTTCTTCCCATAAGACCAAGAAGTTTTTCCTCTAAGCCTGTCAGCGGTGGAGTGTCACAACTACCTCCTCCTGTTAATGTTAATGAACATCTTAATTTAGATGCTTTAACTTTTACTTTGGATTTCCAATCTGTTAAGGCCTAAAAAATTAAATACTAAATACCTACTCATAGTTTTTGTGTGGAAAGTAAATGAGATTAGAAAAGTAATGTCCCATGAAAATATCAATACTGAATTTAAGTAGTATTCTTGGTTTAAACTTTAAAATGTAATTAGCAATAAGGAAATAATGGACAATTAAAAATGTCACGTAAGCAATTAAACAAAAAATAATGTTAGGCAACCATAAGGTGACTTTTCTACCTAGCAATACATACATTAAAATTATATTTTAATAAATACAAATTAGACAAAACAAAACATTTTTATATTTACTTACCCTCCTCCATTCCAAAATAGTTTTTTCCCCATATCCTAGCCCATTTAGTCTAGCAGCAACAGTTTTCCATAACTCATTTCCTTGGGCTTTACCTTGTGGCCCATTAAATTTACTGGTTATTAAAGCAGGAAACTGTTCTGCTAGTTCTAAAAATAACTGCCAATGGCTAGTGGTAACCCTCATTATAAAAAAATTAAAAATAAATGTAGCGACAAAAAACAAAAAGACAATTTTAACAACACGTGAACATAAAATCAAACAACGTGGTAAAAACACTATGATTTTTTAGGTTAACAACAACGTGGGTTAACACAAATCCAAACGTCAATTTATCCACTATTTTATCCTTTTCCTGCACATTTAAAGATACGCACTCTCTCTCTAATCAACACCTCCGCACGTACCGCCGTAATCGGTAGGTGGAAGTGGAGAAAGTCGTATAGAAATAAGTGCACAGAATATGAAAAAATCGATTCTACACCACTCCATGGATTTCAACATGTCACAGAATCCCGCTTCTGATTCGGTTCCTTATATGCCAACTGTCGTGGTCAATACTGTCAAAAATGTCATTGGCGTTGATTTGGGCTCCGAGCAATTACTAATAGAGGGAGAGTGAAAACGAGTTTGTAGGCGATTGTTGTGTTAGCAACATCTGTAGAGGAAGTAAGGAAGCGGGCACAAGGGGGAAGGTAAAGATCCTTCTTGTTCAGTGGCGTATCATTTTTCTATAAAAACACACATTGTCCAAACGTTTTAATTGTAAAAAAAACTAAAAAATTTGCTAATTATACTATTTTTAAAATGAATACTGTCTTATATGTGTCTAATGCAGTAAATGAAACAAAATCACTGTAAAGGTCTAATTTTTTCAATTGAAGAATAAAACCTTTAAATCAATTTTATTATAAATAAATGCAGGAGTGACTAGTTTCGGCCTTACAGGAACATCTTCAGGTTTGTAATACAATAATCTTTAATTATTATAATATTATATTATACAATATAACATTAAATAGTATAAACCACAAAAATGGATCCATATTGTAGCGTTACAGCATTATAGAATTAAAGCTGTGAAAATAAAAGAGCAGTGCAAACGTAACTGAAAATAAGAAAACTGAGTACGGAATCTACAAGAGAAGAGGCGAGAATGAGCAATTACGAATGCATTTAAATTGCTCGGAATAACAAATAAAGCTGATAGTGTAGTGGTATAGTTCTGTCAAAGAAGGTCTGGATATGTTAAAGAGGACGGCGTTTTCTCTGTAAATCTGGAGAATATAAGGATGAAGGGAAGACGCATTTTGCTGGCTCAGGTGTAGATGGCTAGAAAAAGAAGCGTGTAGATGAAAGCTCCAGTAAATATCGTCACTTTCGTCTAATTTTTTATTCTCACTCACCGTTTCGGCTTTATCTTCGAAATTCATTTTTAAAAGGAAATAAAAATGAAAAAAACATATATGTGAATATAAAAAATATATAAATAGATAAGATCAATATCAAAATCAATTTGAAAATACAATAGATAATAAAATGAAATAAATTAATACAAGTACAAATAGAAAGTTAATAACATACTTTCTAAAAGTAACATATTTTAAGTAGATAAATGTTTAAAGGGTTTATTCCTGAACATAACTAATCTGATGTTTTCCTCTTTTTAATATTATGAGGGTTTTTGTAGTTGAAATGAAAATTATAATTTATTTTGGCCCTAATAAAAATTTAAACATAGGTTATCAAAGAGTAAAATACATAATAGAACTTCATAATCTTAAATCGTTATCAAAAATTATTAATGGTAAAACTTCAAACAATAATTAGATTCTTAAACAAATTTCTAGTTTTTGTTTTGCAAAAGACTTTTTTGCCTTCTTCGGTTGCCTCTGCCACTTTTCTGTTAGTAGTTTCGAGGAGAAATTTCCTATGGAAATCAGTAGAACCATCAATTGGTTGGTAAAATTTTGATATTTTGGGTCTGGTAGTAAGTCTTGTTAAACTTTCTTCTTAGGAAGCTGTAACCTTATGGAGAATAAAAATTTAATGTTAGATCAAAAGCTCTTAATTGAGAATTATATTTGCAAAGGCAGTTTTAATAATATTTTCAAAAGTTCTTGGAATCGTTGTTAACAGAAACCTGCAAAGAAATAAATCATTTTATTCCTAAAATATAAGATATCACACAATGTACATTCATATAATATCATTGTGCTAGAAAAATACTAGGTAAGTACTGAGGCAATTTAAAAAAAGTATTTCGAGAAACTTAACTTTTAATGTTATCATTATACTTAACTTTTTTATTGCTAAATTATTAATAATGTCATTTTGTGTAGTTCATTGTGATTTGTATAATATATATTATAGATATTATGATATAGTTTATGATATTATGATATATAGAAGTAGTGACAGGATTGATTATTATACTTCTTTCGTCGAAATTGCATTTTTCTTTAATATTTTCCTCACCTGAAGTCTGTAATAAAAATGTTCATTAGCATAAAAACTTATTCAGGTGGTCACTTGTTGAATTCCTATATTTTGGAACCATGTATTTCTTTCTCATATCAAGAAAAAGAAACCTAAAAAAAATAACAATAAACTTTACAAAGATGTGATATTAAAATAATAATAAGTAATTAACCTTTACAATAATCATTATGAGACGGATGAAGATGAACTTAGCTGGAGTTTACTTGTTCTTAATTTTAATTTTTCGATAAGAAAATAAGAAAGTTTAATTGCAAATTAAAGGTGATTGCCTAATACACCGCCACTGATAATTAGGTTGTGTCTGTACTTACTTATGATATTATCTTGAAGAAGCATTTTAAACAGGCCTTTTACACATAAAGCATGTTTTCACCATATTATTAAAGATAATAAATCTTAAATATACATTTACAACCCTTACAAGGTTGTAAATAATAATATTTTCCGTAAAATACAAATAAGAAATTGACATGTGTCAGAACTGGCGCTGTCAAACTTGGCAACACTGATTAAATAAGCCAATTACAGAAGAGGTATTTTCCCCCTCGGGGGAGTAGATGTTGCTAACAAAATTTAGCGCGGGGAAGGGGGTAAGACTCACTCTAGTAGCACAGCTTATACAATACAGCTCCACAACTCCGTGTCGGCGTCTTTGATCTGACGGTCGAGAACCAAGCAAGGTGTTAGATTCGAGGGAAAAGTCGGGCCCGGATTAAACAATTTTTTTATTATTGAAAAAATAGAAAACCTTGGCGTAATAAGGTTGGTTACATGCCATATTAAGCAAGTTTTGGGAAATTAAATTTTCAATTTGTTTTAAATCTGTCAAATATAATTAAAAAATTTATTTAAATATAAATATTACGAAAAATAGCGATCTTTCGGATTAGAGGTAAAATAATTTGTATGTGGCTAGTAAAATCCTCGTTAACAAATGTTTTGAGCTAAAACAGTCACTTCACAACAAATTGTGGCTTGGATCCTTTTTACACCAAGGGCTTCAATTGTTAAAGAATTTTGTCACGCTCGTGGATGCAAATAAAGTGGTACCCCGTGTGTCTGGCAAGTGTTACTCTTCGCGCAAAGGGTTTATACCTAGATAAATGAATGCTTCGACTGAGGTTTGGGAACTCTATGGTATTTTGGAATTATAAAGAATTTGTGCTTTTATTTTAACAATATTGGTTATATTTAGATGTATTCTTATTAATTGAAATACAAATTTTTAGAAGTAATACTTTGACAGTTTTTATTAATATAATATATTCAATTTTTATCTGACCATACCGAAATAGGGAATTTTGAAACTTTATAGTAATGTGAAATTTGAATTACAATATTACACGAAATTACATAATTAGTACTTATTTTAGGTAGGTACTAAATTTGTACTTGGAGAAAGTAATATCGATTTTTACAAGAAAACTTGAAAAGTAAATTAATTTAGTTCCTATTTCTAATGTAAAACTTAAACCAAGAAAACAAATAAATAGTAGTTTGTTCAACAAGGGTGGATATGATAGCCATATCACACAAAGACGAAGTTTGAGCACGACGTCGTAGGCGGAGTACTCAATCGTCTGATTGTGATATGAACAATCCACTCGATATGGTCAGTATATTTTTTCTACGACCCACTAACGAAAATCTAAAAATTTAAAAAATTATGAGATTAAACATACATTAAAATAGGTTATTCTTTTGGAAAACGTTAGCATGGATGACTAAATGGTATTGGGTTAATTAATTCTAAAAGTGTGGTACAAATGTTATTTTTTGTAGCCAATTCTTCAAAATTATTTTGAAATATCTTTTCAATATTGAATAGTAGTTTTACAAATTCATCATTTGACAGTTGAAGATTTCCAAATGTATCTGAATTGGCGTTATCATATGCCTTTAAAAAGCAATAAAAAGAAAAATCATCTAATTCAACGTGATCTTTGTTATATTTAAGACAGGTATCACAGGAGTGGATCCGCAAGGCTTTTATTAAAAGGTAACCACACACATACCTGATAAAATTTTTCTGTAGCAACTCGTCTTTAATAATAATTTAATAATTTAGCGTGTTAATAATTTCATCATAAAATAAAATACAAGGTGTTCCATTTAAAAAACATACATTTTAATTTGCCAGGCAAAAACGTGATACCCTGTATATCCAAAGATATTTTTAAAATATGTAGGTATTTTTCAAATCCATATAATTTTTATTTAAAACTTTTTTGCGTGAACAATAACGCACTAATGGGACACCCTGTATAAATTATATTTTTAACAATGAAAATTTCTTATAATGTGGTATTTATCGGTTTGGGTCCTTGGGAAAACTAAAGAATGTTTTCTTGCAGGTATAACCCTTATTAAAACAGCTTTTGACTGCACAAACAGAATGATGTCTTTTTTTCACTCATTCTACACACAGCTAAAAAGTCACCAAAATAATAATAGTACCTTTGACTCAAACAAAATCAACGAAATTATAGGCTCCACGAAATTATACAATCAACGAAATTATACGCACGACTCAACACCTTACCTAAGTACGCCTCTGAACGCCAAAACCGTCTTTTCGCTCCAAAGGCGGAGCTTAAGCGATGCGCGACGAAATAGACGCAAACCGTTGCCGCCAAGAGAGTGTTTTAGCTGTATTGTATAAGCTGTGCTAGTAGTATTTGCTCTGAGGATTTGGGTATATATTTATAGGTTATTGATTTTTTGTGTTTGGTCAATACGGTTTTATTTAATTTCTCATCAAATAATAATAAACCAACCAGTTTTGTTGAGCTCATTAGTGCCTTTATTCTTTTCTGTCGGTAGGTGCAAATTT